TGTTATTTCTATTGTAACAGCACTAGATGACTAAGACACCCCTGGAACATCCAGTGATGTCCACCAAGCAGATGAGTACAACTGGGCTAGTCCATGGATTTGGGTTTTTTTGTCATATGGGTAATAACCAAAGCTATAGTAGTGGATGAGATCATTTAGGGAGAATTTGCAGAATGGAAAGAGCAATGAACTAAGGACAAAACTCCCAGGAGCACCGAAACTTTAAGGAGTTAGAGGAAGGAACAATCAAGTACATGAAGAAGATATAGTGAGACCTCACCTCAGTCTTACAGACCAGAAAGCTGAGTTTCAGAAAGGTTCAGTGACTTGGCCAAAAGCACATGTGAGTGAAGGGCAGAAGCAGGACTAGAATTCATATCTCCATCCCAAATACTAGGACTTCTTCTTGCCTCCATTCACTCCCATTTCTGTGACAATTATCCTGATAAATAATTGTATTCATTCTGTACCTACTCTGCAGCATCCTCAAAACAGACTCAGAGATACCCTCCCATACCCAGCAAAAGTTGTACCCATTATTTTATGCCTTGGGCTAGGTTTAGTGCCCAACAATGTGTTCCAAAAGCACCTTCCACATTCCCTATTTGGGTACTTATCAGTCCATATTGAAATCAGCAGCTTATGGGGCATCTCTTGCAATAGACTCTGAGTTCCTCAAGAACAGGGAATGCATTTTGTTCAGTTGCCTGGCACATAAACCCATTGCCATCGAGTTGATTCCAACTCATAGCAAACCTATAGGACAGAGCAGAACTGCCCCATAGGGTTTCCAAGGAGCGGCTGGTAGATTCGAACTGCTGACGTTTTGCTTCTCAAATATTTCTTGAATGAATGAATGAATGAATTATATGCTCCACTTCCCCTGCCTGCCCCCTGGGGCTGAACTTGTACAATTGGGAGATGCTGAATTAAGGCTTCTTCTGTTTCTAATAGGAGGCAGTGGAGAATCAAAGAAAGTACAGTGGGCTTAGATTCAGAGTATCGTTTAGTTTAGTATCCTAGCTCTGACACTTTCTGTGAGACCTTTAGCCAATGAGCCTTAGTTTCTGTTTTAGTTATCTATTGCTGACAACCAAACCACCCCAAAAACTTAAAGGCTTAAAATAGCAACCATTTTATTATCTTTTTCAGTGTGGTGGGTTGAGTGACTTCATTTAGGTGGCTCTTTTCCACGTTATCTTGGCTGGGACTTGCAACCATCTAGGGGATTGATTGTGCTGAAATGTCCAAAATGGATCACACAAATGGCTGGCAGTTGATGCTGCCTGTTAGCTGAGAACTCAGCTGGAACTGTTGACCAGAGCACCTACATGTGGCTTCTCCATGTGGCTTGGACTTCTCACTGCATGGTGGCTGAGGTCAGACAGGGAGCATCCTAAGAGTGAGCACTGAGAAGGAAAATAGAAGTTGCAAGTTATTTTAAAGGCAAGGCCAAGAAGCTGTAGTAAGTTCTGCCACATTTTATTGTTTAAGCAGCATAGGCCTAGCCCAGATTCAAGGGAAGGGGAAATCACTCCATCTCTCAATGAAAAGAATGACAAAGACTTTGCAGCCATCTTTAATCCACCAGTTTCCTTAGAAGTTCTTGCCCGGCCATCTTCACAGGGTGGTGGTGATACTCAAAAGGTATAAATCATAAGAAAATACTTTTTAAACTTTAAAGAGATACACACAAGAGATATTGGGTAGTTACCAGCATTTCTAATACTTTCCTCTCCTCCGCTGGCACAGACCCAGCCCTCCAGGTCACAGGCATGTAACCCAGACTGGACAAACCATAGTTCTCCATCTCTCTGGCCATTATGATTGACCCTAGGATGGTGTTATGGATTGAATTGTATCCCCCAAAATGTGTGTCAACATGGCTAGACCATGATTCCCAGTATTGTGTGAT